CCTTCGGGTGGTCAGGACGGCGGGAGAGCGCGTCCGGTTTCCCCATGAGCTTCCCTGGGCGATGGACGAGGGTGAAGTAGAAGCGGGAGAGGAAGAGGGACCAGCGTGCTTGACGTCGGTTAAGTCTCTGGGCCGTGCGGAAGTACCCCAGGTTGCGGTGGTCAGTGTAAACCTCGACCTTCTCCTCGGCACCCTCTAGGAAGTGCCGCCATTCTTCGAGGGCCCGGACGATCGCGAGCATTTCCTTGTCGTACACCTCGTAGTTCCGCTCTACGTCCGTAAAGCTCTTGGACATAAAGGCTACCAGGTGGAACTCTCCATCCGACTGGAGCTGGGAGAGGACCGCACCGGTCGCGAAGTTGGAGGCGTCACATTCGAGCCTGAGAGGGCCCGAATCTGTGGGGAAGGAAAGGACGGGGGCAGAGGTGACGGCTTCTTTAAGGGCGTGGAAGGCATTGTCTTCGTCCGGCCCCCAACTCCAGGCCTTGGTCTTCCGGGTCAGCGCGTGGAGGGGTCGTGCTTTTTCGGAGAAGTCTCTGATGAATCGACGGTAGAAGTTCACGAACCCTAAGAAAGATTGTACCTCCTTCACCTTGGTTGGGGTCGGCCAGTCGAGAACTCCACGGACCTTCACCGGGTCCATTGCAACGCTGCCCTCAGAAATGATGAGACCGAGGTACTCGATCCGGGTCCGCTCGAACTTGCACTTTTCCGGCTTCAGGAAGAGCTTTCGCATCCGCAATGTCTCTAGGACCTCCTGGACGACCTTCCGGTGTTCCTCCAGGGTGGAAGTGAAGATGAGTATGTCATCCATATAACAGATGACAACCTCCCGGTCGATGAAGTCCCGGAGGATGTCGTTCATCATCGTTTGGAAGGTTGCGGGGGAGTTGCACAAGCCAAAGAACATCACCATGGGCTCGAATAGCCCCCGGTTGGTCGCGAACGCTGCCTTCCACTCGTCACCATCTTTGATCCGGACGTTGTTGAACCCCCAGCGTAGGTCTAGGGCCGAGAAGTACTTGGCCTTGCGGAGGCGGGCGAGAACGTCCGAGATGAGTGGGAGGGGGTACGAGTTCTTTACCGTGATTTCATTCAGTTTTCGATAGTCTTGGACCAGCCGTAGCGACCCATCCTTCTTTTTGACAAAGAAGACCGGGGCTCCCATCGGAGACTTGGACGGCCGTATGTGCCCATTCTGCAGATTCTCGCATAAGAACTCGTCTAGTTCTTTCTGTTCAGGGCGTGAGAGGGGGAAAGTTTTCCCTCTGGGCAGTTTAGCGTCCGGCACCAGGTCTATGGCATGGTCCCAGGGCTTCCGGGGGGGTAGCCGGTCGAAAGCCTCTTTCGAAAACACGTCCCGGAAGTCTTGGTAATGACCTGGCACTAACTCCTCGAACGATGCGGGCTCTGCGTCCGGCTCACGAGCCTCTTGGGCCATTCGCTGGGAGGGCGTTGTAGTCGCCCTTAAGTCATGGCCCCACCCCGAGGGGATGATCGCAGCATAGATCCTGTCCCCGGGTTCTATCAGGGGGTCCTGGTCGTCCGGCACCCGTGGTGACTGGCAGGACGATGGGCAGTGGGACATGATAACCCTCTGTCGCGCCCAGTCCACTTCCGGGTTGTGGTGTAGTAGCCATGAGTGCCCAATGATGAGGGATTGTCGTCCTAGGTTCGCAACAGCAAAACGGGCCCGCTCTGTGTGTCTCCCAAATGTTAGGAGGGCTTCTAGCTCCTCAGTTATGGCTCCATTCTCATTTGGGGTCCCATCAACATTACGGACGGGGATGGGCTGTGGGAGCGGGGTCGTCTCGAGCTTGTGCTTCCGAACGAACTCGGGGCTCACGAAGTTCCCGGTGGCCCCGGAGTCTAGGAGGGCGGACACAGATACAGAGGCGAGGGAGGTCAGGGTGGTCAGCTTCACGGTAAGGTTGAGTGACCTGGGGGACTGCTTCGAGAGGACGTAGATAGCGGGTGGGGATACCGCTACTTCGGGTGCTACCCTTGAGTCTCTCTTGCTTTCACGGGCTGAGGATGCGTTTTTCCTCTTTTTCTTCGCGATAACTCGGTGGAACTTCTGCATTGGTGTTGGCTTACACATGCTGCGGTATCTACACGAGTTGTCCGCTACAGGCGGCCAGGACGCATCCCTCACCGGTTGCCCTCCTGAAAATCCTCTTGGGGACCTTCCTCCGGCCCTCTCTGCTCCGTCTCTGGCTCTCCCGTCAACTGGCTCTTCAGTCCTTCCATCAGCGCCCGGAGGTCTTCAGGGTGGAGGCGTCGTACCCGACGGACTTTGGGGTGCTGGCACTCCCGGGCAACATGCCCTGGGGCATTACAGTTGTAACACAGCCCGTTCCTCCTCTGGTCGATTCTTGAGCGATCGAGGTCCATTGGCTGTGGGCCTGCTCCACTTGCATGGCGGGCTATAGGAGTCGGGGGTAGGGGTACGGGTGCGGGCGTGGGGCGTGGGTGAGAGGGGGCGGTAGTTGGTAGGGGTCGTCCCAGCGGGAGTGGGGGTCTAGACAGGGGTGTGCGGGGCTGTGTTGCCTGGAAACGTCGCCATTGGTTATCTAGGAGGGTGGCTTCGCGTTTCCATTCAGCCCAGGTGGTGGGCATGGGGCGGAGGCGGTAAATGCTCTCGCGGAGCCGGGCGTTGATTGCTTGCTCGAAGCGGTCGACTAGCCCAACGTCACCTAGCCGCGAGGCAGGTCCTAGTATTTCGAACTCCTGGATGACTTTATCCACAGAGTCGCTCCCTTGTCGGATGTTTGCCAGTTTCTGCCGGGCTGTGGCTTCCCGGTTCGGATCCTGGAACATGGCATCGAGTTCTGTGTTGAACTCGTCCATGGTGAGTGCGGGTGAGCCGGCCGTCAGCAACGTGATGGTGCGTTGCGTGGCCCACGCTCCTGCGGTCCCTCCCTTCATATAGGAGAGCATGAAGAGGATCTGCGAGAGGGCGCTGGGGAACTCGGCCGCGCGGACGTGGAAGTAGATACCACATTCAGCTTTGAAGCGGTCGAGATCCTCGCTGGCTCCCGAGAAGGGGGTAGGAGGGGCAACCTTGGGGCCCTTGGGTCTGGGCACGGGTGTTGGCATAGGTGGGGGGGCAGGAGCGGGTATGGGGGCAGGTGCAGGTGCGGCCCGGTTCAGGGTGTGACTTTCGACAATGGCCTGTAGTTCTTCAAACCGGGCCAACAGGTCGTCATACTGCTCTTCTGACACCATGGCAGGGGAGGAGGTAGAGGAAGGGTAGTTGAAACCTTCTTCTGCTGTCAGGGTCGCGTCCGCAGTCGAGGCGATCCGGGCGTAGCGTCCGGTACTGAGGACCTCACGGGGGATGGATCGGGCGTGCGTACTGGCAGCCCTGATGCGGGACAGCGATCCCTGGCCACTTAGACTGAAGTGGGAATGTTGAGTTATTATTAAAAGGAGAACTATGCTACTTACCTGAAGTGGGAATGTTGAGAAGAAGGTTACTTCTTCGGTTCCCACCCCAGGTGTGTTTATATACATGCGGCTTGGGTCACATGAGGTCCGCCACGTCACCCCGCATACAGCCGCAGTCACCCGGGTGTCCCCATGGGGGATCCCGAGGGTGTATGCTGCACGCGCGCGCACTAGGTTGCACCCTAGAGCCATCCGGGGTCGTCCGGGGCTAGGCACGTCGTGTGTGCGTCGCGGGCGGGTCAATAATACATGGATATAAGGGAAAGGTTGTCCGTGTGAAGTAGAAATAGAAATAGAAATGGAAATGGAAATAGAAGGGGAAGTGGGAGAGGGATAGAGGGGGAAGGGGTATGAAGGAGGGGTGCAGGGTGGGGGAAGGGGAACCGGGTGAGGTGGGCCCGGGTGGAGGCGGGTCAGGCGGGTGTGCCCTGACACCTCCGACCTCAACTCAGACAGAACCCAATCCATCTTCTATCCACCTTCTGACAGTGTTCCGACTCTGACAGTCTGCCCGACTCCGACAATAATCCTGTCTCTGACACGCACCCTCGCTGGGTGCTATAAACTTCATAGGTCCCCCCCAGTTCAAAAACGGGCGCTAACTGAGGGCAACCTGCATTGCATTCTACAATCTATCATGCTCACTCCTTCTCTCGATGACAATCTCTTTGTTGCGCTTTGCTTCATCGGTTGGCATTGTCTTATGCGCTTAGGAGAGCTGGTTGACAATGACATTGTTGCATTGCAAAGTTTTCGGAAGTCCATCCGATGTTTTTCTGTGAAGTTTCGCGATGACCCGCGTCCACATGTCTCTTTTTTCCTACCAATGCACAAAGCAGACCGATTTTTCGAAGGTTCAACTATCGTTCTTGAGAAGCATGAAGGGGTTCTTGACCCCCTCCAAATTTTCAAAAACTACCTCTTCATGCGCGATACTAGGTTCCCTCACCTGCCCGACTTATGGCTCCGCAAAAGCAGATGTTTGCCTACACACTCCTGGTTTATCTCCCATCTGCAATCTATTATCAATGACCCCAATGTGGCTGGTCACTCACTTCACTCAGGTGGTGCCACCGCACTTGCTTTAACTGGCACTCCCCTAGACCATATCCGTTTAATCAGTCGTTGGTCTTCCGAGGCCTTCCTTATTTATCTACACCAAAATCCCATCTTAATCCAGAGCACATTGGCCGGTTGCTCCGCTTTCGATGCACAACGTGCCAAGCATTTACTCTAAACAAATCCAACGGACACATCAATGGGCAAATCTTGTGAAAATACTAGCGAAGTTTAACTCAGTCTCAAGCTGAATAGCGTGGAGAACTAGTTAACATTACCTAGCGAAGTTTAACTAAAGATAATACACATTTAGATATGAAGGGAAATTAGAATGAAAGAAAGTACTGACCTCAGTCTCAAGCTGAATAGCGTGGAGAACTGAGGAAAAAGGAAATGAATAGAAAGAGCGGGTATGTCCGTATAGTCGGTAGCGGATAATTCCGCGATAATAGAAAAGGGAAAAGTATTCATTTACAGGTCAGGTGAAAGTCACCTGGTCAGAAACCTCCGGAACGCGCGCTGCACTCCAACAAATCTTTCCTCTTTTTCCACCACCATCCTCCCCTCCTCCTTCCTATGTTATGGTCATCAGTTACGGCTCGCCCTTGGCCGTTGTATTTCTTTTCTTGCAATCCCATTTTGCGCTGGCCCACGTTGCATCGTGGGCCGTGTCCACTAAGTTGGTCGGGGCCGGGCACGTGCGACCTGGAGCAGTCCGTCTCGTTCTGCACTGCCGCAGGGCTGATGGATCGATTTCCGGAGTAGGTGATCGGCTATGTGTTTAACTCCGTAGCATGTGACCTTTTGTATTGAGTACAGAACGTGAGAACATTACATAAAGAGCTATTATTTTGCGCATCCACGGAGCTCCTCCAACTGGGTACGAGTCTGGAGTCTGCCGACCTTCCCTCAAGTGTTCAAGTCCAAACATCATACAGAGTTCCCTCCTGATACGCTTCCGCACTAAATAGCGCTATCGTGGCTCTGCCGCCCCAGCTGACATACCGCTTATAGCACAGGAATGCACCAAATCACCATGGCCAACTACTGATACACAGTTGTGAAGAGTACGAGGTCGAAATCATGTGAGGCTCCTCATTCACAATGACAGAGTCTGTAGCCAACATCAGGTTTTCATGCCTACTGCCTAGAGGTTGATGATTGAGAGGACCGAAGGTTCCCGTGCCTTGTCCACTAGTAAATACCCCCTATTAGGCCCATTTGAAGGCCAAACGGCCCCCCCTCTATAGGCCGTCATTAGATGGCTGACTAGGCTGTTCTATCCCCGGTCTCGGTTTGACCAAGTCCGCGAGCGAGACTTCCCAGCCCCCCCTTTTCAGGGAGCATTTCTCCATCACTCCTAACCGACTCTCGTTTCACCTGAGCACCAATACATATCGAACTCTTGATCGCTCTCCGTTCGGGTTTTCGATACGACTCCATAACCTGGGAAATGGACTTCACTTTTTATTCGACGTCTATATAACACTTTACTGGCTGCGGAAGGCAGTTGATCCATTCTAGACCCCTGTAGGGTCCGAGCCAAGACGGACAAATCTTTTACACGGTCTGAGACACCAACTGGCTCCGTTGGGGGGGGACTTGGCACACATGGGTGAAGCGTAGCAATACGCCCCGTTCGCATATGAGCACGATGCACCGTCCGACGCACGATTGCATGTCTTGCCTCCAGTACCTTGGGTACAGTTTGCAGTGAGTTCAGTCAAGGGGATATAGTACTTGAGCTTGGGCTGATCCACTGAAATGTCAATGCCGCACAACGAGCCGTTGATCAGTCCCCTGGGTTTATCCTGAATAACATTCGCAGTCCAGTGGTTAATTATATCTTCGCAAGCCTCTGTTGGGTAAATATAGGTTGGGAGCAGGAGCAAATTTCATTTTTAGGTTTAGTTCACCCACCTACCGTCGAAGGGTACATAGCCCAACTGTGTTCCGGATACGTCTTATGAACGTCGCAACTGACTGTGGCAGTCAAGAAATCAGCCGCGACAATGGGAAGTATCGCGATTGATGCAAAAGCACTCCAGAATCGCATTGTGACTTTCAGACACTGCTTTCACTAGCGGGCGTGATCAGCTATGAATGTAACGTATGGATCACAGAGTACTACTAACCTTAGTCTTGAGCGGATGTGCTTGGAGGACTAGTGAGAAAGACCCGATCAGTTATATAAACCACGCGCGATCCAACCAATCTGATGAAGTTAAATAATCTTCCCCACAAACGAGAGATCTTTCATTAGGAATGCTGCTGCGATCAGTGCAGCCGATATTGCCTGGTGAATCTCGACCATTTGGCATCATCGGCTCTCACACCACACCATCAAGTGCTAAGTATTAACGCTCATTCGATGGGGCCATGCATATAGTTAGTTTGGAAATTTGACTCCGACCACACGCAACATCCAGAGATCAGAATGTGTTGACTGTTAGGTCTTGTACATCTCAGAATAGAAGATTTGAGCTGGGAGCGAGAGGAACCGGAGGCGTCTTGTTGTAGTAGCAGTCCAACGCCACTGCTGTTGATGGCTAGCCACCGTGACCCAGTCCTGCCAATAGGCCACATGGCGAAGCGAGGCACACATGCACAGAGCTCAGTTCATCGCCGGAGAGCACAATATCTATGTAATACATATATAACAAATCCTTGATATCGTGCTCAGTCGCCATCGCGAGATTATCACACATCTCGAAGCTTCTTTTTGACGGTTGCCGTATATATAAACGATTCCATGATGTTGCAAATAATCTACGCTATATCCTTATTCCACATCTATCTATGTAGTCAAGTTGCCTACATGCCACGGATCCGAATGGTCCTTTGTCAAAATTGATCACTGATCGATTCACAGATCGGAGGTGTAAGTCCCAAATTGAGGTTGTCCAGGTGTGGGATGGGGTGTCGAGGGGAAATGCCAGAGAGATAGATGCGATTTAGAAAGTCGAAACACTAGTGTATCCAGGATGGTGAACTCCCCATTTGGATCCCCCTCTGCCTCCAATCACGGCTTGAGTTAATTTGACGGTTGGGTTCCTGGTTTGAACCGAACCCTTCGGAGCGGACAATGCTTCAATAACAACTAACAGCGGATTGGCTATGACGAGGTCTGCCTGGTACTAGGCAGGTTACCAGCCTCTATTGGAATAAAGCCTGGTACATGCCCCGATTGAATTGTTCATAGACTGAGTTCATGACAGCGGCAGTACTGATGGGCTGGATATTCAGGGACATGGAAGAAACGCAGAAATCACAAGCACAACTATTCTGGCCTTTCTTTCCGTCAGTGGATAACAGATGGTTCGACTAAGTCATTGCAGGTATGAGGCTGTCCCATTTTCAACAATTCCTCGGTCCTTGAATAATAGGCGAGATCTTTGTTTCTACTTCCGCCAGTCATTTATCAGGTCAACTGTTATCCTCTCCCTTATCGGAGCGCTCGGTCCGCGCACAAGTTGTTTTCCTTATGGTGACAAGCGATGTATGCGCTGATGGACATCTGGATGTTTAGCCTGCAGACTCTAGAGGGCTGGACCTCACATGACATGCACTCATGATTTGGGTACGCTCCACTCACCGCACGCCGCTTCTTTCTCATTGGCCGGGAAAGCCCTTTTCCCCGCGTCTTCTTACATTGTTCTCCCCGCCGGGCGTTCGGTCCCTACGCCCCCAACGCCCACGGAGTATTGTAAATCAGCGAGTGGAGCGTGCGCAAGCTATGAGCACAAGGAGAAGTGCTGAAAACCCCCTTCACTGGCCCCCTTTCACATTAAAGCAAGTTCTTCTACCCCCTCAGCATGGGCATCACGATCGAGCAAGTCAAGGATATCTTTTCCAACTTGGGAAATGGAAATTCCGCAGCTTTCTTTAACTACGTTGAGGAGGATGTGGATTGGACTGTAACCAATCCCCATCCTAACTTCAAGACACACCCGTTGGCAGGCCATTACACTGGCAAAAACGGTTCGTCCGCCCATATATTCGTGACATCGACGTCCGTGCCTAAATACTATCGACAATAAGAATTCCTCGAAGCCACCGATCGCATCAATAATGCATTCCAAGTGCGCACAACTCATTATCCGCATGCTGAGTTTGCACTAACCCTCAGCATAGGAACCTATTAACTTGGTGATAATGCAAGAACCAATAGTTGTAGGCAACCGAGCTGTCGTTGAGATGTGGTGAGCCATTGGGTGCAGCTTTAGGGGGCGCTTAGCTCATCCGCCAGCACCCCAGGGCAAGAGATAAGCAAGGTGATGTTCCCGTTGGGAGGAACGGGACTAAATACGATAACAGGTAACATTACGTGCCTGTCACAGCTTCGCTCTCCTGACTCCTGGAACCACCAGATTTGCGTGGTTCGCCACGTTTAATGAGACAGGGAGGATATGCACTGTGCGGTAAGGCAGAAGTTTGTTCTCGGCGAGATCTTGCTTAAGGTTCGATTGCATGCAGGGCGTACTTGGATTCCGCCATGGTCCGAGACCTCCTCCAAAACCCGAGTATTCCCACTGCGAGGCAACTTTAATCGCTTATCTCAGATAGGGTTGCGTATAACAGGGTGCATTACCAAGCATTTCACCAGCAACCGCTCACCAAGCATCTAGCAGTTGTAAACATATACATGTTTTGAGGTAGTTTTAAATAGCAATGACATGAGCGTGGTCGCCACAATCAAGAAGGGGAAAGTGGACGCAGTGGTTTAAGACGTCAAGTTTCGACTCAAGCGATTATTGAGGGCTACTGGAAAGGACCACTTCTCGGTGGCGGGATTGTCACAATACAACGCTGGAATGCCACTGATGTGAATAGTACTGCCACGAGAATGGTGAGGTCCGCGTGATAAGGGAATACGCGTGGAGGGGTGCCGAAGGATCAACCTTCCAGAGCGCACTCGTTCAGTCCCGTGCCAACCTTCTTCTGCTGACCGGTGCCGATAATCGTGTCTACGTTTCAAGCGTCGGTATTGTGGCCCTCAATAAAGGAAAGTGTTGTTCTAAACTGGAACGATAGGGGGAAGTGATATTTGGATATTACCTAAATATCAAACCAACATTTACGAATGTGTGGTGCGTCTAGACGAGCGGCAGAAGTCCATGCTCATTAGGTACGACCTGGACTCGGGACGGGAACATGGAATTAGCAGCCGTCGTTCGGGAACAATAATGTATGACTTCGGTACGATAAGAACTGGGCATATAAGAGTAAGCGACAAATCGACCAAGGACGCCGTTGGCAACAAGTGAGGAATACAGCCATTTAAGAGGCGCCGGCTAAAGAATCGCTCGAGAGCCGTCGAAGATCGCGCCGAGACAAGCAGTGGGCGGGAGTGAATGAAAAGGCTATTTTCCCGGGGAGTAGAGAGTGAAGACATGCTAGAAGACGAAATGTAGGCAACGCAAGTAATGTCTGTACGTGGAATGTATAAGTACCAGACGGGCCGAGCCGGTTTTCGACCTTCTCGCCGGGGAACAACCGTGTTGACACCCCCTCCCTCGAACGAGAGGCCGCAGGTATCCACACCCCCGAACAGTGTTGAAACCCTCAAAGTCAAAGTTTCGAAGAATCAATTCCACATGCCCCTTCTAGACGTCTCCGCCCACAGAGGAGCCCGCCGGAGATAGCTCATTGGACAGAATGCACCGGAAAATGGCTCCCGGAGAGGAAGATCTGTTGGTAAATGAGGTATCTCTAGCTGAGCACAGGGTGAGAGCTGTGGGAAGGCGCAGTCCAATTGACATTCCGGCATTTTGGGGCCATTATATGTATCATGTGCCATGAAAGCAGAGAGGAACCCCAGTGTGGCATTTTCACCGGATAATACCATAGCATAACACGACTGCCAGGTATGGTTATGCACGCTGGGTTTCGCTCGAGCGTAATGGCAACAATGTTTCCGTTAGTCTGTTAAGGCGCCTATTCATTCAACACCAACCTCCATGAACCACATACACCCACCGGGCATGTGGCTCCTAGAGACTGGGTTATATATTCGAGAAAAAAGCCGACGAGGAACACAGTCGCAAATAAGTCATCAGACCGATTACGTCGTCCCTCTGCGCATATACAGTATGCGATAACTTGCGTAGAATAACACAGCTTTTATTCCCAACGGGGAACACAATCTGTTAATTGATCGATTGTCATGAGGCTGCGTGTTGTCACAGCAATCGGCTTACTCTCCGGACAAACCAGAGCCCTCTGTTAGGCTCTGGAGTAGTATTGTAAGGTGTTGTCACCACACAGCAAGAAGGGGCACCAAGTCACAGCACCGAGCCGCTTCCAGGTCCTTCCGGAACAACGATCATCTCTGGCGTTCAGAATAACTGATCCAACCATTTTGAGGACAAGATGAGGTGGGATGTTCCCCCCGGCTAAGCGATCTACGTTGAGATGGACGACAACAGGCAGCACTTTTCATCTCGGCATTTGTGGGCACAAATGCCACGTGACCGCGGGAATACTGCAAACCTTCGTCGAATCATTCCGGCAAAACCATAAATTACAAAATGGCCACCGTAACATAACCCATCATCACTAATAACGATCCCCATCGTCCGGAATTAGCTCTTTCTCGCCTGCATCGACGCATAAATCACTCAGTAATGGATCGATGCATCTCTGGACGCGCATTGAACTACACGCTTGGTGTGTCTCAGTCGTCTCTCTGGCCACGTCAGGCCACACGCAGTGTTAGTTCCGGAGTTAGGCTCCGTTCCCCTTCATGGTCCTTAAATGATATTGCTGGAGCCCCTGCTCATGCCTTGATCCGCCGATGGATGAGTGCTCGACCCATCAATGGTGGCTCGCTCGCTGATCCATGTATGTCCCCAAGGTGTACTGAATTACTAATCGTTGGGACTCACATTTTCTCATCCCCAATTTCTCTTGTTTCTCACGAATTCGACCTACTCCTTGTGACTCTAATCCATGCGTTCTTTGTGGCCATATGGAATGATGACCGGGACCGGTAATCACTACAGGCCGACGAAAGAAAACGACTATATCTAGGCTCAATGCCATGCGTGCTTCCGGGAAACCAATAACGGTGCTTACAGCATATGATTACCCCACTGCGTTGCGCTCTGAGGCTGCCGGCATTGACATGATTCTCGTGGGTGACTCCCTTGCTCAAGTCGCGCTCGGATACGATTCCACCACACGGTTGACGTTAGAAGAAATGATACATCACTCCAAAGCTGTCGCACGCGGGACGAAGAGCGCTTTTCTCGTAGTGGATATGCCCTTTGGGACGTATACCACCGGCGTACGAGATGCCGTCGCGAATGCAGTGAGGCTCGTGAAAGAGGGTGGTGCGGAGGCCGTAAAGATGGAGGGTGGGGAGGAAATCGTCGGACTCGTGAAAGAGATGACAAGGATGGGAATTCCAGTAATGGGTCATATTGGACTTATGCCACAGAGGCATACAATTAGGTGTGTATTTATATCTAAAAATTTCCCTCTTGGTTCTCATGACTACCGGTTTATGTAGCTCGGGGTACCGCGTTCAAGGGAAATCAGCTGAAGCAGCCCTTTCACTCCTTCAAAGTGCCCAT